GGGCCTCAGTGAACACCTAAAGACCTTAGTTGGAATCTCTAAAAGGCAAAGCCTTAGACGCAGGAGCCAAAGTTAGATGATATCTTATCAAAACCACAACTCAGCCTCCACCCAGCTTAGCTAAGATGCTCAGTCCCCTTACCATCTGCTTCCAGAGGGTGGGGAGCCCTCTCCAGAGTTAGATATTACCTGGAGACTTTATATATATATTTTTTCATACACAGATGTTGTATGGCATTTAACAAAAATTACAAGGCCTGACAAGAGACAGGACCAAATGACTGAAAACAAATAGAAAAACAGGCAATAGAAACAGACTGTGCAGGTGACTAAAGTACTGGAAGTAAACCAGGGCTTTAAAATTACCATGATTAATATATTTAAGAGAAACAAAGCAAGAGAAGGAGAAAATAGATGAAAAGAGAATTTTACTAGAGAATTGGAATCCATGAACTTCATAGTCCAAGAGACTGAGAATATAGAGAACGCATTTGAGCTCCTCACCAGCAGAGGGATTTTGAAAATGCTGATTCAGATCTGTATGAGCTGGAAAACCTTATGGCCCAGAGTCTGAGGGCAAAAAAAAAAAAAGTCTGCCATCACTGGCTGTCATTCTCTGTACCTCTCAAGTGGCTTCCTTTAAGGGACACGTATTGTACAATGTGTTCTGAGTCACTCCGCTCCATAAACTCAGTTGACTGGCACGGAGCTCTGTTTACCTGGAGAAAGAGGAGGCTTTTGCTAATTATCCTAAATACATCCTTCGAGCAATGTGTGTTGGGAATACTAGTAGTTAAGATGTTCAAGAAGTTGAAGCCTCTCTGGGATGACATTTGAGTTGACACCAAGTGACAAGGAACCAACCAGGAGAGAACTAGGAAATGCGGTCTGGGCAGAGCTGACAGAGAGAGTAAAGAACTCTGAGGCAAGAATATGTTTGGTGATCAGTCAGGGGTGGACAAGCTTTTCTGGAAAGGGCCAGATAGCACGTATTTTAGGCTTTCAAGTCACACAGTTCCTCCTGCAACTACTCACTTTTGCTGTTACAACAGTAAACACCGACATGAAAGGAATGGGTGGCAGTTGTCCAATAAAACTTTATGGGCACTGAAATGTAGAATTTCTTCTAATTTTCACACGTCACAAAACCTTCTTTTGATTTTTTTCCCCCAACCATTTAAAAATATAAAAACCATTCTTAGCTCTGGGGCCATAGTTTGCTGGTATAAGGTCGTTTAGGTAGGCTGGTATCAGATCGTGGAGGACATTTCAGACATGGTAACAATCAGGTTAACGCCAAGCCCCTTTCCCCCTCCAAATGGAAAGCCACTCGTCAGGGTAACTGCAGGCCAGGGTACCAAAGCGGGGATGCAGCTTCCTACAGCTCATGGAAGATGATCAGGTTTGTTTTATTTTTTCCCATTAACGAGAAAGAACAAACGAACAAAAAGACAGGCAGACAGACAGACGCACACAAGGCTCAAGGAAGACGATCAGTTTGTTTCAACACACACACACACACACACACACACACACACACACA